TGTGTATAAACATGAGACTCAGTTTAGCACTGAGAAAACATGAAAGTTATAAAGAAAACAGGAACTTTCTGAAAGCTAAAGTCAGTTATCTTTGAGAGCAGAAGTGCTAGTGTCAGTTGCACACAATACTGCAAAGCACATACACAGGTATTTCTTATGAACCATAAATCGTCTATTGAAAGTTGGGAGCTATTAGTCTCATAATACAAAATCATGTGGAGAGCTTAAGATACAGTTTTATCACAGTAGTCATATACTAAGTGTAATTTTTAATAAGCATTCTGTACACAAGTTTTATTAGAAAATAAATCATGTACTCACCCATTGATGGTCACTGTCATTCAACAATGAAATTCTTACTTATCAAAATGTCATTTTTTCCTATGACCAATTTTTACCTTCTTACTTCTTTGTGTGTGTTGTCTCAAGATTTTAGTAAGCAAGTTTATATTTTAAACCATAATATCAAAAACATAACCTCAAATTTTGAAAGAAAAATAATGGCATTTAAAGCTAGCTGATTGCCAGTTTTTCATTAAATTAGCTAATGTTATTTCAATATTTCTCCAAAATACACCTAAAGATAATGCTGAATGTTTTCTGAAATTTGGTTTGTGAATGAATAAGTGAAGGGAAAGTTTAAGTAGAAGAGTGTCTGAGAGGAGAGTGTACCTGAGAGGAGAGATTTCCAAATTCTAGCCCTATGCTGAAATGTGATTCACTTTCTTTTGCCTTAAAAGAAAAAAAAGTTGTCAACAGGCTAGAAATTTGCTTCCTTGAAGTTTAAGTTTGGAGGAAAACTGAAACCATAAAAATTTCAAATCATTGTTGACTTTAAAATTTTTTCACTTGTGCACTAAGGTAGTACACCCAAGAAACGCTGCCTTTTTAAATGCTGATGAAATCACCTCCAGACCTGTCAATGATATCATACTCTACTCAACCATGGTGGAAGAAAGGATGGATCCATTTGTTAGATATTATTTTAATACATGATTTAAAGCTACATTGCCAAGCTATTCAAAATTGTTCATGCAGTCTTAAAACAAATAACATGACTAAGGGTGGTCCATCATAAACTTGAAAACATTCAGATTTTTAAATTATATTCTACCTCTTCAATTCTCTTAAATTACCCTATGTCAATATCACAGTAATCACATCAATGCAACCCATGCAAATACAAGTCCCCATTCTCTCCATCCAGCCATAGAAGCCCTATTCAGCAGTTTGTGCTATAGCACCATGCTGCAGCATTCCTGCATTTGAACTTGGGAATATAGGCTTTCCAGGACTGCAGGCAGAGCCCTTACCGCATTCCTTCTGAACCTCATCTTGCCTCTCGGGGGATTTGCTTCTGCCATCTCGCCTATGCACAATTACACGCTTCTTTTCCAATTGTCAATGCAACATTGATGAAATATGAGCTGCTTCTTGGGTAGTATTTAAAAACGGCAGCCAAAAATCTCGATCAAACAAAGCTGCTGTGGCTGCTTCCATTACAACAGTGGCAGTGCTGCAAAAAAACCACTATCCCTGATTAGTCAGCTGACAGATCCTTCCGGGCTGCTCATTGTAATTCAGAGTTGACACATTCCCCTAGTTACTTAGCCCGATTGAACCTTGTGGATTAGCTTGTGCTGGAAAGCTCAAGAAGATCAGGCATGTCCTAAGAGTGGAGGAAGGAAAAATGAATCTCCTCCTAGGAGCAGTCTTGCTGGGACGGGCTTTCTGCTCTGCGCAGTTGGATTTTTAAGGTGGAATGCTAAGAATCTTTGTGAAGGTAGTATTAAATGATATTTTACTCTCGTTCTAGCCTACTCTGTGACTTAAATTCCAATGCCGTTTTTGTTTTATTTTTCCTTACATTCTATTCCAAGTTTAAGTCTTACAAAATTTTGCTTTGATAATAATTTAGAAATAACAAACTTTCTAAAGTGGATAGTATTCTCTCCCAAATTCACCTTTCCCCAAAATAGCTAGAAGGGAAGATTATGAAGGTTTTCAAGGCAAAATAATGATAATTTTTAAGGTGACAGATGTCCTAATCACCCTGATTTGACTTGATCATTACACAATGTATACATGAATCACAACATCATTGTACCCTGCTAATATATATAATTATGTGACAATCAAAATAATTTTTAAACATTTATTTATTTGAGAGGCAGAGTTCAGTCAGAGAGAGAGAAAGAGAGAGAGAGATCTTCCAACCACTGGTTCACTCCGCAAATGGCTGCAATGGCCAGGGAGGGGCTGATCCGAAGCCAAAAGACAGGCACTTCATCCAGGTCTCCCCCATAGATACGAGGCCCAAGTACTTGGGTTATCTTCCACTGCTTTCCCAGACCATTAGCAGTGAGCCGAATTGGAAGTGAAGCAGCCAGGGTGCAAACCGCCATCCATATGGGATGCTAGTGCCGCAGGTGTATGCTTAACCTACTATGCCATAGCGCTGGCCCCAAAAATAAATTTAAAAAAATAAACTCTCTTCTCATTAATTATGAAAGATATTCTGAGTTAATTTATTTTGGAATCTACAGATGAAGGTTTTCCAATTTAATTGTATGATTATTTCATAGACATTCATTAGCTCTTCTCTCCATGTTTATGATTTAATGCCTCTGTTAAACAAATAAAAAACCATTTTGCTGACTTTTTGCCAAGATAGGGAATAATGCATGTGGCATATGAAAAGAATAATGATCTTATTCATTTTATCATGTTGGTGCTAGTATATTTTTACATTGGTTGATGAGATAGTATAGCAAGAATATTGTCTCAGAAGTACAACAATCTATATTTTCGCTTTGCATTTGGAACTAAATCAACTTCCTCAAGTAGGAATCACCTCCTGAGTCAGTCATGAGACAAAGTGAACATTTTAGATGGCTCACAAAGAAAAATATTGCATCAAAGCTACTCTAATATGTTAGAGGAAGTTGCTCACGTGCTGCCTCCATGGACAGACCCAGTCTTGTCTGAAAGTTTCTAATCTCCTTTATCTTACAAGAAAAAGAAGTTTAAGACAATGTCACTGTCTCCTAGTGAGCTGCTATGGTTTGGATCCGGTTAGAGTGTATCCTACTTTCATGGGCTGGAGGATTGTACTCAGTGTGGCAATGTGCCAGGTGGCAGAACCTTTAAGAGGCAGGGTCTAATGAGAGGTCAGTGGAGGCATCACCCTCAGAAGAGATTAATGGAGTGCTCACCAGATCCAGATTGGTTCCCACAGAAGCAATTTGGTACAAAAAGAGCAAACGTGGACCCCAAATATCTTTAGCTTCTTGTCATGCCATCTGATCTCTCCCTCTCATAGTTGTCCCCAATATGATGCCATCTTCCATGTTATAACACAGCCAAGGAGGTCCTGACCAGAGGCCAAACTGAAAAAGCCTCCGAATCTTAGATTTTTGGCCTCCAAAATTATGAGCTATATAAATCTCTTGTCCATATTAGGTACCCAGTTTTTGGTATTTTGTTAGAGCAATAGAAAATGGACCAGGGCATGAGCCTAGAAAAGCAAAAACAGCATCTTGGGGAAAGATCGTATCTCTCATATTTCTTCCATTAGGGAAAGTATTTTCTCTAAGTCTTAAAAGGCAGGTTACTGGATTGTAGTATAGGAGCTATGTTGTTTTGTAGGTGAAGCACCTCCCTACTCTATCTTAGGGTAAAAAGTTCTAGAAAGGTGCACAACAAAATTTTGAAAAGTGGGGGCCGATCAAAGAAGCATGTACTTTTCTCTGAAGAGAGGAGAGAACTTCCACTTTACTTATGGCCTTGGCTAAATACTAATGGATATTATGGATTTAAAAGGCTTCCATAGCCTTGGCAGCTCATGGCAAGAGACTCGGATGATCAGTGATGTTATACACAAGAGTGTTAATTGTTAAATTAACAACAGGAGTCACTCTGCACTTGCTACACATGTAGGACCTCTGTCCTTAATGAATTATACTATGAAAATTAACTGTAAAACTTGTTTTCAAACAGTACTTTATACTTTGTGTGTCTGTGTGGATGTAAACTGTTGAAATTTTATTTAGTATAGAGTTGGTCTTCTGTACATAAAGATAATTAAAAATGAATCTTAATGGAGAATGGGACTGGGAATAGGAGAGGGAGGAGATATGGTGGGAGTAGGGGTGGGAGGGCAGGTATGGTGGGAAGAATAACTATATTCCTAAAATTATATTTATTAAATTTACACTCAATAAATAAAAGATACCTTTCAAAAAAAAAAGTGGGGGACGGCACTGTAGCATAGCAGGTTAAACTGCCACATCTGACACTGGCATCCCATTGAGCAGTGATTTGAGTCCCAGCTGCTCCACTTCAGATCCAGCTCCCTGCTAATGCACCTGGGAAGGCAGCAGAGGATGGCCCATGTGCATAGATCCCTGCCACCTACATGGGAGAGCCAGATGAATTTCTAGACTCCAGACATCTGGCTTCAACCTGCCTAAACCCAGCCATTGTGGCCATTTGGGGAGCGAACCAACCAATGGAAAATCAAACTCTCTCTCTTTCTCTCTCTCTCTCTCTCTCTCTCTCTCTCTGAATCACTCCCTTTATCTCTACAGCTCTGCCTTTCAATAAATAAATAAATCTTTTTTAAAAAACTTGAAAAGTGTTTAATCCTGTATGGTTTTGTTTCTATTATTTCCAAATTTCTTCTATATACTTGAGCATACAACACAGTTATTCCCACTTAGAAAAATCCCATGAAAACTTCCCTTGCTCTGAAAAGCATATAGTGCCATTAGTTTTCTCCCACTCATAACTTGAACAAATAACTACTCATTCTTTCCAATTAGGTTTCATTTTGGGTGGAGTTATTTTCACCTCAGTCTCCTCTACAATGTTTCTTCATGCTTTCCCTGCTCACCATCCAATCTATTTTTGTTGTCTTCATCATTATAAAAATAATTGATATCACAAAAACAGAAGGTAAAATATAAAATAAAAATAAGAAGTTATGTATAGGTACTCACAGCAATTTTTTGAAGAGAAATTTTGAGAGAAAACCATGTATCCAATCTTCGATCTAGAATAACGGTAAACCGGGAGTCAGACCCATTTTGTCTATAAGAAGAAATAATAAATCAAATTTTTCTTGATAATAAACCAAATTTACTATAAATGTAATTACTCTGATTAGTTCATTTACATTAGAAGTTTGAACTAAAGACTGATTTGGATTTAAAAAGCTCGCAAAGTGTTATCTTAGAGAACAATTTGATTCTATATTCCCCTGCTCACTATTTAAAAATTTTTTCAGCACTAATGTCACTCTTTTAAATAGGAAAGTATAATTATAATAAAGATAAGTCATGAAAATAGATTTGGGATACTGCAATGTTGAGTGTGGAAAACCCAGAAGACAGCTGTCCTACACAACATCAGATTTAACTTTCATAGTAACATACGATGAGCCAACCATCCATTCATCCATTCAGAAAAACTATTATATATATTGATCTCTCTCTTTTATGATGTTTGAGGGAAGGTAATTTAATGGATAACATAACTTTTATTTGCCCCCCAAAAAAGACTACTTTCAAGCTTCAACAGGTATAGTGTGAATTTAATCTTCTAGGATTTGATTTTTGTTCGATTTTAGCATCATAGGTTTGTAATATCAGAATGTTCTGGAAAATGCTTCATTTAAAAAGTTTGTCTTCCAGATAGCACTGTGGCATAGTGTGTTAAGTGCCATCTGCAGTGCTGGCATCCCATATGGGTGCTGGTTCGAGTCCCAGTTGCTCTACTTCTGATTCAGCTCCCTGCTAATGTGTCTGCAAAAGCAGCAGAAGATGACCCAAGTACTTGGGCCCCTGTACCTATGTGGAAGACCCAAATGAAGCACCTGGTTCTTGGCTTTGGCCTGGTCCAGCCTAGGTCATTGTAATTCTGACTTTCAAATAAATAAATAAAAATATTTTAATACCTGGATAGGCAGTGGAAGATGGCTCAAGTGCTTGGGTCCCTGCACCCTCATGGGAGACCAGGAAGAAGCTCCTGTCTCCTGACTCCTAGCTCCTGGCTTCGGATCGGCGCAGCTCTGGCTGTGGCAGCCATTAAAGGAGTGAACCAACAGAAGGAAGACCTTTCTCTCTGTCTCTCTCTCACTATCTATAACTCTACCTGTCAAAAAAATATTTTAATAAAAAATTTGTATTGAAAGTAAATGAAATCTCTTAGGAATTTTTGAAATTTTGTATTAAAGTTTTAAAGTTCTTTAATTCCAAATGATTTCTAATATCAAGACATTCCTCCTAGTATTGCCTAATATCACTATTGAGTCTATTTATGATTCAGTCTTCTTTTGTTATCCTAGGAAGGAATAAAAATCGGCTGCCCAAACTCTTGGCTGGGAGATTTCTTTTTAAACAAATTAAAGTCATTATGTTCTTAATGGGGACACACAGTGCTAAATTCCCAATTTTGTTTCCATAGATCCTCAGCATATATTTTACAGCAATTTAGGTAGCTTTAGCTTATCCTTCTATGTTATGTTTTCTTATCTATTCTGAAGCTAAATCTTTCAATTACTCACAATAATAATAATAGCTATACTAATGAGCATTTTTCTTTTTTGATAATAAATGAGTATTTGATATAAAACAAATTGAAAAAAATGTAATGAAATGTTATACCTTGCAATGGTTATCAGGTAAGTGAGTACTTTTGCTATTACATGTTCTGGTATACACCTGAAATTACAGTTTTCTGGAAATGTAATGATCCAAGCATTATCCTTCCCCCGGCCACCTAAAATAATAGAAAAAAAAAATAAACCAAATTAGCAATCTATGTGACGATAACACAAGAAAGAAGATTTTAAATTTAGGGGAACTAGTTAGAAAACCATTTCAGATCAATAAAACTTTTACAAGGAAGATTATCTCCACATAAACTGAAATGGCACCAAGCTTAAGTATAAAAGGCAACAGAGGGGCCGACGCTATGGTATAGCAGGTCAAGCTGCTGCCTTCAGTGCCGGCATTGGTTTGAGACCCAGCTGCTCCACTGCCGATCCAGCTCTCTGCTATGGCCTGGGAAAGCAGTAGAAGATGGCCCAAGTCCTTGGGTCCTTGTACCCACATGGGAAGACCCAGAGGAACCTCCTGTTGTAGCCATCTGGGGAGTGAAGCAGTGGATGGAAGACCTCTCTCTCTCTCTCTCTGCCTCTCCTTCTCTCTCTGTGAAGCTCTGACTTTCAAATAAATAGAATAAATCTTAAAAAAAAAAGCAACAGAGCAGTTCCTAAATAGTTTTTTTTTTAATTTTTTAAATTTTTTAATTTATTTTTTGACAGGCAGAGTGGACAGTGAAGAGAGAGACAGAGAGAAAGGTCTTCCTTTGCCATTGGTTCACCCTCCAATGGCTGCCACGGCTGGCGCGCTGCGGCCGGCGCACCGCGCTGATCCGATGGCAGGAGCCAGGTACTTATCCTGGTCTCCCATGGGGTGCAGGGCCCAAGTGCTTGGGCCATCCTCCACTGCACTCCCTGGCCACAGCAGAGAGCTGGCCTGGAAGAGGGGCAACCGGGAAAGAATCCGGCGCCCTGACCGGGACTAGAACTCCGGTGTGCCGGTGCCGCAAGGCGGAGGATTAGCCTAGTGAGCTGCGGCGCCGGCCCTAAATAATTTTTAAAAAATAGCTCAAAGCGCGGCAAGTATTGTGACACAACAGGTTAAGCCACTGCTTGGGATACGCCCATCCCACATCACAGTGCCTGAGATCAAGTCCTATCTCAGCTTCTGATTTAGCTTCCTGCTAACGTACACCCTAGGAGGCAGCAGATGATGACTCAAGTGCTTGGGCTCTAACATGGGAGACCTAGATGGAATTGCCGGCTCCTGGCTTTGGCCTAGCCTAGCCCTGACACACACTCTCTCTCTCTCTCTATCATTCTGCCTTTCAAAGAGATAAAAATAAACTTCTTAAATTCTTTAAATGATAAAATAAAAAGAGGGTAAAATGAACTAATAAAGTCAGAAGAAACTTTCATGGAATGCATATAATATAAGTGATTCAAAAATACCTGATCATCAAGTTGAACAATCAAGGGGATTAGAAAATAACCATTTGTATATAAATGTTTTAAGGCTAAATTTCAAATGAGCGACTGATGACAAAGTAGAAAATTTTATATAACTGAACACTCAGAATCATGGTGAGCATGAAAGGATACATAGTACAGATTATACAAAATAAGTGATGATCAAATGCATTTGTGGAAGAAACAACAAAAACAGTATAGGAATTTTATTAATGCAATGAAAGACCACAAATTCTCTGTGGAATAAAATTCAAAGTGCAGCCCAAGTGGACGCCTGAGGTCTGGGTCAAGACATGAACTTGATCAGTTGTGTGCAGCATTACCTTGACTACATAGGAAGTCTCAGCTCTGGGGAAGCATGGGTTCCAGGACTCCATAGTTGAGGCTGCCCTGAGCATATTTCACAGGAACTGGGAACAGGGATACTTGTCATCAGAGTTCATGGCAGGGAATAATTGAATGAACCTTGGCCATTCATTCTGGGACCAACTCCCATCTCACTACCTATCTGTGCATCCTGCCCTGCAGTCCTCTATGCAGCCTGGAGGATGAGGAAAATTGAGAATGAAGACTATCTAAGTGCAGAGACGAGATGTGTTTAATATCCCAATCTGCAGCCAGCCCAATGCCTGCACATGGAATGGGTACTCAGTAAATATTAAGTGCTAAATAGAATTTGAAAAATTATTTCAAGAGGAAAGATGCAGGGTGGCCTTTAAATTTAGCTCACTAACAGAATGTTTTGAGAGTTTTAGTCATAATTATTATTTGACTAAATTTAAGTAAATAAAGATATGTAATTTTTTAAGTAAATAAGCAATAAAACGTGACAATAGCAAAGGAGAAAAATGTAATAAAAAAAACTCAATCCAAAAGAAAGCAGAAATGAAAAGAGAAAATGTTAAAGAACAGAGGCAGACATTTATCCTCGCAGTCAAGACACATCTTATATCAGTATACCTGGGTTCAATTCTGGGCTCCAGCTCCTGACTCCATCTTCCCACCACTGCAAACTCCAAGAGCAGCTCACATAATTGGGTCTTTGGATTGTCTGCACCTTCTCCCCACTTCAGCCCACCCCAGCCCAGATATTCTGGGTAATTTGGGAGTGAATCAACAAATGGGAGCTCTCTCTCTCTCTCTCTTTCCATATATATATAGAAATACAATATATACTTTAAATATAAATTTAAATATTTTAAAAGATAAATAATAAATAGGACAAATAGAATGATAGTAAATTTAAACCCAACTATATGAATAATTACATTAATTATAAGTGACTAGACACTGCGATTCAAGTCAAAGTTCATCAAATTATTTTAAAAAAAGAGACCCAACTACATCTTGCCTCCAAGAAACACTCTAAGTATAAAGGTATCAATATATCAAAAGCAAAGATAATGAAAAACATGTATCATGCTAATATTAAAAGGAATTAGCCTAATATTGGACAAAGTAAATCTCAGAGGAAAGAAGATTAAAAAGAGGGGCCAGCATTGTGGCACAGTAGGTAAAGCTGCTGCCTGGGATACCAGCAGCCCATATGGGCACTGATTCTTGTCCTGGCTGCTCCATTTCTGATCCAGCTCCCTGTCAATGGCTTGGGAAGATGACCGAAGTCCTTCGGCAGCTTGTATACACATGGGAGACTGGGATGATGCTCCTGGCTCCTGGCTCCTGGCTCCTGGCTCCTAGCTCCTGGCTCCTGGCTTCAGCCTGGTCCAGCTCTGGCTATTGCAGCCATCTGGAGAGTGAACTAGTGCATGGAAGATCTGTGTGTGTGTGTGTGTGTGTGTGTCCCTGTCTCTGTAACTCTCTCAAAATAAACGAATGCTTCTTTGGTAAAAATGAAAAAATGAGTATTGAGAAGATGATGATAAAGTAGTCAACTCCTAAAGGGGACATAATCATAAATGCTTATGCACATAATAAGTGTTCAAAATACACAAAGCAAAAAACAATATAATTAAAAGGATAAATAGTAAAGTCTAGTTTTTATCAGATATTTCACCACCTGTCTCTCAATAATTGATCAAATAAGTAGACAAGGATATTGTATATCTGAACAAAACTCTCAAACAGCATGACCCAATTGACAGCTACACAACACTCCATCCAACAAAAGCAGAATACATATTCTTTTCTAATGTATATAAAGAAACATAAATTTAACTACCTTAATCTTTATCAAAGACACTTGAGAGAGAATTCTCATTCATAAATTACCTTTCAAAGCAAACCAGACCAAAGTATTAAATTAAGTGATGATGAATCTTTACTGTGTGATATTCTAGAATGAAAGAGCAGGGTGAAGATAACCTTGAGAATGAAGGCTTCCACCCACAAGTTTTCAAGGAACCCAATAGAGGAAGTATATGACTCTGAGACAAGAGATTAATCAAACACAGGGCCTCTATTAGTACGTCATAGTGTAGAACTAGTTATATAAATAATATAAATTTAATGCATCTCTTGCATGTGATATAACTATTCAGTTGCCAAGAAAAGTGGTGAGCACTCTTGTTAAGATGGGAACCATCTAGCATTTAGGCGAACTGCACATATCAAAGGGAATGATACATGGCTCCTATAAGTGCAAATTATCCCTGACTAATCTATAAACTGCTATTACCACTGAGCACTTACAAGTACTGTACAAGGTAGTAAATTTGTGACTAAAGAACCAAAGAGCTGTTTATATTCTAAATTGGGAGGTTTTAATTGTATTTTCCCTTTGGACACCCTTTCTTAAAAAGAAAATAGGCAGAAGCACTTTTAAAACAATTGCAGGGGCCAGCACTGTGGTGCAGTAGGTTAATCCTCAGCCTGGGGCGCTGGCATCCCATATGGAATCTGTTCAAGTCCCAGCTGCTCCACTTCTGATCCAGCTCTCTGTTGTGGTCTGGGAAAGCAGTAGAAGATGGCCCAAGTCCTTGTGCCCCTGCACCCACATGGAGACCGGAAGAGGCTCCTGGCTCCTGGCTTCGGATCAGTGCAGTTCCGGCCATTGTGACCATCTGGGGAGTGAACCCGCAGACAGAAGACCTTTCTCCTTGTCTTTCCCTCTCACTGTCTGCAACTCTCTCTCTCAAATAAAGAAATAAAATCTTTTTAAAAATATAATAATTGCAAAGCAGACAAGAAGGATAAGCACAGGTCAGAGAAGAAGCCCTGAAGATTATTCTATTTGTAACACAGCTTGGGAACTACTGGTGATTTTAAGTAAAATCTCCAAATCTTAAAAGTGAACCTAACATACCCATCAAATTTACTAGGACAATCCTGTAGTGCCCCTTTATCCACAGGGGATACAGTTCAAAACTTGTAGTGGATACCTGAAACTGTGGATAGGGCCAAACCTGTATGTAACATACTCTGTTTTCCTACAGGCCCTGCAGTATTGCCACGTAATACCACAGTTAATCTGTTCTTCCCTGTTAGATGCCGTTTGCCTCCTTTGCAACACTACTCTTAAACTTGTGGGACATTACTGAATAAAATAAGAGTTACTTGAACACCAGCACTGTGATAATATGAGAGCCAACTGATAACAAAGAAACTGACCAAGTGACTAACAGGTTGTTAGCACATTCAGTGTGGAGACACTGGGATGGACAAAGAGAAGATTCACAACCCAGGCTAGATGGAATAGGAGAACCTGAGGTTTGATGAAGCCACTGAGAACAGTGTGTAATTTAAAACT